TGGGAAGTCTGTCCCCCCCCCCCCCTTCCTCCTCTCTTCGAAATTTATATTTCAAGAAGGCTTCCTCTCTAATGTGTTTCACAACGACTTTGGAAGCCATGGACATTATTCACACGTGTTATAAGTGAAAAACCTGTAAAAACATCCGGATAAAAGACTTAATAAGAAAAAAAGCATGGTGCACACAGCTTGGAAGTCTATAAGCCAGAGTCAGCACTAACGTACATCCGATTATAACCAGTTTTTAAACTGCCTCAGGAGTGAAAATCCAGCTAAAAGAGAGTCGCAGAGGAGTAGAAGACGAGTTAATAAAATAGATAGGTTGCTTATTACATCAACATGCTGTGCACCATCTCTTATTAAAAGCTGTTTTTAATTCCTTGGATATTAAATCCTTGCTTACTGCTCCTTAAAAGATGATTATATTTGTAACATGCCTTTGAAAACCCATGAATGGTATGTGTGTGATAAGGATGATGCACAAACACATCCTTGTGTCTTAAAACACACAGGGTTGGTGTTCACCACTAAAACCATGAAGCACCTTAATTGAGGCGTGAGTTGTTGCTGAAATGACTGTATTTTGTCTCTCCTTTTTACTCTACTTTCTGCCCTTCCAATTTTTGGAAGTCAAGGTGTTTGCGATCAGACACGAAAAAGAGCAACTAAAAGTTTTGAGGCACTGAGAAAGACTGGAGAAATCTATTACAGCATAAGCTTCTATAAATCAGAGGTTATTAGATAAATCTGGGTATCGAAAAAAGAAAAACATGTGAGTGGCGAGGCCAGAAGAATTATTGTCAATTGCATGGCTTCTAAAGAAAGTATACATCAGAGATAATGCAGCATTTTTGTCAACTTCCCTGTACATGTTGGGATCTGTTCTTGATCATCCCAGAATACTGGATACGTAATAATGAGCTAAAGCTACATGAAGCCGGATTTAGGCTGAAGATCAGGAGAAATTTATTAACTTAGATCAGTACAACAATGGAACTGAGGACCTCGGGAGGTGGTGAGGGCTCCAACACGGAAGGCAATTCAAGAGAAAATTGGACAGCCTTCTGTCAGATCTGCTTTGACTTGGATTCCTGCCTGGTGGGGTTGGAATGGATAGCCTTCGAGGCCCCTTCCAACTCCATTATTCTGTGATTTTAGGATTCTAACCCCTCTTTTTGAGAATCCTGGGGTCTCGCTTTTATGAACAGCTGTGACCACAAACTCCTTCGGACCCAGGAGATGGTGGGGTAAGAAAGCCGTTGCCTGGATGGAAGACGGCATTTTTGAACGGCCCCTTTAGACCCACAAATCTCCCGCAACAGCCAGTCCAGTGAAACCCTCCCATTTATTTTTCTCATGACGAAAACAACCCACTCACTCCCTCCTTCCTCAAAACCCCGGAGGTGTTTGGCTCCGGAGGTAAAGGGTGAAGCCATGGCAAGGTGGCGCAGAGACACTCCGCTCAGCCCTTGACGGTGGTGGCGATGTACGATTCCAAAATGAAGATGGTTTCATCCACTTGGTTTTCGCTGGCGTCAATCCTTTGATGGAGAGACGAAGACGGGCAATTAACACCGTTATATGGAGCATCTTAAAGAAACAGATTTGGTCGAAACCCTCTACTTTTAAAAAGGCATGTATTAAACCACACACCCTGGATATGAGAAATGCTCTCTTAAAAACCAAACGCACAGCCCAGCCTGGCTATTCCATTTTAAGGGGATATTGGAGGGTCCCGGTGGGTCCCCCTTAGCCATTGTTTTTTGAACCCAAAAGCTGGGGAGCTCCCTCCCTCCCAACCCACTTTTCTCTTGATCCTCATCCTCATCCTCATCCAAGGCCTTTCTGCACTCACTTGTTGACATTGTGCTTGAGGGTGTCGAGCTGCTGCCGTTCCGGGGCGGTGATCATCTCCTCAATTTCCTGCAGCTGGGCCTCCTCAGCCCCCGTCGCCTGCATTGAGGCCAGGATGGCCTCCACCCGCTGGGATTTCTCCAGCAGCCGCCTGGAAGCAGAGGGCAGACACTTAAGGGGGCTCCACGCAGGGACACGCTTCCTTTCCAACCTCCAGTTGAGGCGCCCGGCTGGCCCAAGACTTTGTTGGTGCATCAGAGATGAGAACTGCACAGCTGGAAGGGAACCTAGAGATCATACAGTCGACCCCTGGAGGCACAGGAGGGATTCGAACTCCCAACCCTTGGCTCTGCAGCCAGAGACTTAAACCACTGAGCTATGGAGAATCAGACTCTCTTCATGAAAGCAGCCGACACACCCCCTCAAGTGTCACAGAAATCAATGGACCTTAAGAGAACTGTTTAGGCTCGTTCTGCCCCTTGGATTAATTAGGCTGGGCACCTCCCCGTTTTCATACACCTTTGAAATATTCAGAGCAAAAATCTTAAGGCATTTTCTGTGAGTTGCAGGAAGACACGGAACTAGTGCCGTCATTTTTATGTCTGGAAGAAAAAGGATTTGGCCAGGGTGGATCTGGGAGGCCCTGGACCGCTCACCGATTCTCCTTGGTCTCATGCAGCCGCCTCTCAATCAGGTTGGCCACGCTCTGGAAGGAAGGAAGGAAAAGTCTTGAAATCCCGTTTGGACTCATGGAAAACGGGCTGGGAGGGAAAAGCAGGAAAGAAGCCTTCCGAAATAGGGGAGAGAGACTTTTAACGCCTACCTTGTAGCAGCGCTGGAGCAGCATCCGAGCCAAGGAGAGAGTGTTGACTGTGTAGAGGTAGAACGTCCGGGATGGGGCATGGTCTGGGGTCTTGGGGATTTCCTGATTTTGAAAGAGGAAGCAGGAGAAGGCTTGCAGTGTTCATTAAGAGCTCAGGAATAACAACATCATTCTCCCTGTGCAGGTGGATCTTGGATGTTCAGCCAGGATTTCGTAGAATCATGGAGTTGGAAGGGGCCGAACAAGGCCATCGAGTCCAACCCTCTGCTCAGTGCAGGAATCCAAATCAAAATATATCTGACAGAGGGTTGTCTAAATCTCTCTTGAATGCCTTCAACGTCGGAGGGTGTAGAGGTAGAACGTGCGGGATGGGGCATGGTCTGGGGTCTTGGGGATTTCCTGATTTTGAAAGAGGAAGCAGGAGAAGGCTTGCAGTGTTCATTAAGAGCTCAGGAATAACAACATCATTCTCCCTGTGCAGGTGGATCTTGGATGTTCAGCCAGGATTTCGTAGAATCATGGAGTTGGAAGGGGCCGAACAAGGCCATCGAGTCCAACCCTCTGCTCAGTGCAGGAATCCAAATCAAAATATATCTGACAGAGGGTTGTCTAAATCTCTCTTGAATGCTTCCAACATTGGAGGGCTCACCATCTCCCAAAGTCATGGGTTCCATCATCATACTGCTCTAACAGTTAGGAGGTTTTTCCTGATATTCAACCAAAATCTGGCTCCCTATCATTTGAGCCCATTACTGCATATCCTGCACTCTGGGATGATGGAGAGCAGATCCCGCCCCTCCTTTGTCGGACTGTCTTTAAGTATAACCCTTCATGCACCATCATCAGCACATTGCCTCTGATTAAAGGTAGTTGTTGCAGTAGCCACAGGCAACTTTACCCCATGGTGTACGTTGTGAAACAGTCCTAAATCAGCTTAATTAGCAGCAAAAATCTCTCTTGAATGCTTCCAACATTGGAGGGCTCACCATCTCCCAAAGTCATGGGTTCCATCATCATACTGCTCTAACAGTTAGGAGGTTTTTCCTGATATTCAACCAAAATCTGGCTCCCTATCATTTGAGCCCATTACTGCATATCCTGCACTCTGGGATGATGGAGAGCAGATCCCGCCCCTCCTTTGTCGGACTGTCTTTAAGTATAACCCTTCATGCACCATCATCAGCACATTGCCTCTGATTAAAGGTAAACTTTGCAGTAGTCACAGGCAACTTTGCCACATGGTGTACGGGTTGTGGAGCAGTCCTAAATCAGCTTAATTAGCAGCAGTCTGTCCCACATGATCACCATTGAGCTCCAGAACAGGATTTCAGCCAGTGTATAAAATTGGTTAGGTAAGTCCTACCAATTACTTGGGCAGTAGCCTTTATGTATGAAACCTAAGAGACTATAGAAACTTGAAGGGGGTGGGCATCATCTTAAAAGTAAGCTCTCCCGCACCTGATTTTTCTCACCCACAAAGAGACGATGCCTTTGGAAAAATAAGTTTTGTGTCATTTTTAAGAAACGCCTTCCTTCCTTTGTAATTTTTTTTACCACTAGGTAAAGGTAAAGGTAAAGGTTCCCCTTGACAATTTTTGTCCAGTCGTGTCCGACTCTAG